TAAATACCTTTTAAGAGTTTTAGAACGGCATCAGAGAGAATCAAGGAGAGACTAAAATCATGAAAATGGGAATTTTAGGTTTTGATTGCTAATGTAACAATTGTGCACACACAACGGTAGAGTGTTTGCCTAGGGCGACTTCAACATGAAGAATTGTGGTAGAAGCGAAGAGTTGCTACAAGTTTAATAGTCTTGCTATGGTTAGGAGTGGTGTGACAATTGGAATGATTGTAGTGGAAGGGATAGTAAAGTTTTGGAGCAACCATGAAGAGTGTTTATGAAAGGCAAAAGCATAGAGCAGCTGCAACAAATGGCCAGCTGGGAGTAAGCAGGCACAAGCAGCTGAGTGAGTGCAGTTGACAGCACATGGATATTGTGGTAGTGGTTGACATGAGAGAAAGGCTGTGATAAGAGGGAAGTGGTTGGAGGGGGTGGCGATGGTTGATGTTAGATATAACTTGGCTTAGAGGAAGAATTTCATCTTCTTATTCACAGAACAATAATGGCTATTTATAGGTGTATAGGATGAGCACAAAAGAAAACTTTATAGGAGAAGATAAATACAATTAAGAGAGAATAATTATTAGAATATTAATATGCAAAATTCTATATTAATTGTTTTGATTTGCTTTTATTTACTTTCTTTCTTTCCTGTTTTTCCAGTTTACTCTCCCTGTTCGCTCTTCTCTGTCGCAAACTCTCATATGCGCTCTCAATTTCTCGATAGTTCTATGACCCAATTTCCATTGAGATGAGTGGACATGAGTTCCAGTTCTTCCTGTCTTGCGTCTCCAGTTATCATGCGGATTGACAGATTGGAAGGAAACCTACCTCAATCGGCTGTTGTTATATCTGGAAGTTGAGACGTTAGCAGTTAGCCAAGTTCTGAGACAACATCATATATAGCGGATGGATGGAGGAGCTATGCTTCCCCATGAAGGATTCCTGACAGTTTTGACGGGATATTTGAACAATTGTTTTGGCGGGCTCTATTGCTAAGGCAACGCCTGTTTTCTTCCCTTCTGGAGTGATTAGTCGCTGGAACTTCCTGACCCCAACTGAAGGTTGTTTCCAGTTGCTGGAACTCCCTTCCGTAGGTCTGAGATCCCTCTAGCGGGCTTGTTCTTCCCATCTGGCGTGATCAGGGACTTGTCCAGCCGCCTAATCCTTCTATCCTATCCTCGATCAGGGATCTTCCTATGTCTCGACACCCCAACATCACATTTGACTCAGATGAGATCACGACAGACTCTTCCACTAATGAGTCTTCTCCCGCTTCCAAGGATTTTGCTACAGCTTTTGAATCCAATACAGTACAGTCGATCTCTACCCAAAACAATCCATTTTTCTCCGATTCTCTTAAAAATCAAATGGAGCACTTAATGAAGCTGCTTGGATCCAGTCTACACTTTTCTAGTGCACTCACTTTTTTTGCTCCTTATTTATGGATCATTGATTCAGGCATCATAGACCGCATGACCGGGAGCTCTCAAGCCTTCTCGACATACTATCCTTGCTCAGAGAAAGATACTGTTTAAATTGTTGATGAGCCATAAAGTTCCATTTCTGATAGAGGATCTGTTATTTTAACATGTCTCACTTATGTTATATGTATCTTTGCTAAAGTGTAACATTTTTGTCTATTAGTAAGTTAACATATTACATTGATTGAGTTGCTCATTTTTTCTCTGATGTTGTGTCTTTCAGGATCATCATTCGGGGAGGATAATTGGAACTAATAAGTGGGTGGGCGCTTATCTCAGCTCATTAAATATCTTATTATCCCTTTACACTGTCGTTTGGATCATCCAGTTTCCAGTATCTAAAACAATTGTATCTGATGGTGTTTACTAATAAAAATTCTTTTAATTTCAAATGTAAAACCTATCAATTACATAAACATCTTTGTGGTTCTTATCCCACCCACAATTGCACAGATATTCATTTCTCTCTCATTCACACTGACTTATGAGGACTCTCTTGCACTCCTAAGTACACCAATAAATGTTGGTTCCTTACTTTGATTAATGACCACACTCGGATGACGTGGGTTTATATCTTGAAAGATAAATTTGAAGCTGTTGTCACTTTCAAAAGCTTTCACATCTTTATTTTGACTCAATTTAAAACTCCTATTCATGTCTTTCGAACTGACAATGGTCGTAAATTTTTAACTCTATATTAAGAGAAATCTTGATAAGTAAGAGCATCCTCTATCTTAGCTCATGTACTTACACTCTTCAACAAAATGTGGTAGTCGAGAGGAGAAAACAACATCATCTCAACATTAATCGCTCTAGCATGCTTCACTCTAATGTTACAAAAAGTTTATGGAATTATGTCATTTTTACGGTCACTTATTTTATCAATAGAGTTCCCTTAAAAATTCATAACTTCCACATCCCTTTAGCTGTCTTGAGATTGTGCTTTCCTAATAATCGTGGTCTTTTCCACTTAAGATCCCAAAATTTTTGGGTGCACAACCTTTATTTGGAACATGCCCTCAACTCGTTATAAACTTGATCACAGATCCATAAAATGTATTTTCCTCATATACTATGCCACTCAAAAGGGGTATCAGTGCCCTGACCCTACCACAAATAAGGCCTATGTGAGTGTTGATGTCTCTTTTTTTGAAAGTGTTCCATAATTTCCTAACTCGGCCTCCAATGAGGGGGAGCTAAAGTTCTTGGACATTGTTCCTTGCCCCTACTCCTGTGGATGTTCCCCCCACATCACCTACCATCGAGAAACCCTTTGTTCCTTTGGTCTACCCACTTCTCCTACCACCAAGGAGCCCTTTGTCCCTTTGGTTCCCGACAAACTCGTTTTGATGCACCTATTTTGGAGCTCACTAACCCCTTGTTGGACCCTGAATCCCCTCCGGAAGACATCCCCAGCACTGCTCCTACTCCAAATGAGGAAGTCAGTTCCTCTAGTATGGTACACAATCATACAGGCTCTATATACCATGACAAAATATGTCTTTCTTCGCAGATTATCACTAACCTACAAAGCATTTGCTACGACTCCGATCAATCATCAGCTTTCATCTACTATTGTGGCTGCCTTAATAGAACCAACCTGGAAAATTACCGTCATGGAGGAGATGAATGTCCTTCAGCGGAACCATACATGGGATGTCGTTTATTTTTCTCAAGACAAGAAAACAGTGGAATGTCGATGGATTTTTAGCATCAAATTTAAATGAGATGGATCCTTTGAACGCAACAAGGCACCGTTAGTCACCAAAGGTTACTCACAGACCTGCAAAGTTGACTATGATGAGACAATTGCTCAAGTTACTAATTTAAACACCATTGGCCCTTTTTCCGGCTTGATATCAAGAATGCATTCCTGAATGACATCTTCAAGAGGAGGTATACATGACTCTTCCTTCAGGCTTTGACTCCACTGCCTTCCAGGAGCAAGTATGGAGACTGTGAAAGTCTCTCTATGGATTGAAGCAATCACCACAGGCATGTTTAGGAAATTCACAATTATAGTGGTGGGCCATGCATTCATTAGGCTCAATCAGACCATAACATCTTCCGACATTCCTCCATCTGCCAGGTAGCTATTCTTATTGTCTATGTTGGCGATATTGTTTTCACAGATAATGATCTACCAACTTTGGAGTCCCTGAAAGACATTCTTGTTGCTTCCTTTGAAATGAAAAATGAAGGACGACTTGAGATTTCTCCGGTACTTCTTAGGCATAGAAGTTGCTCGGTCATCTCAAGTTATTTTCCCGTCTTAGTCGAAATATGTGATTGACTTTTTGATAGAGAACAATTATCTTTTGTGCAAATCAGTGGTTGTCTCGACAGATATCAATGATAATTTTCTTGATGTTCCCAATGCAGTTCTTGTAAACAAGACTCACTACCAACACCTTGTGAAGAAACTCATCTACCTTGCTCGCTAGATTCTCCATTATTGAAAATGCATACTGGGATCAGGATTGTTTTTTTTTCCACCACACTTCTCGTTCTATTGCAATTTACATAGACATGGATTGGGCTGAGTCCAACCATGATCGACGATCCACCTTGGGGTTCTCATTGGTGTGGGAAAAACTGATTACGTGGAAAAGTAAGAAGCAGTCTATAGTTGCTTGGATCAGTGCAAAAACCAAAATTTCCCTTGAATTTGTAAAGCTCTCTGGTTATGCATCACGCTCCACGAACTACGTATGATAGTCCCTGCTCCCCTACACTTGTTCTGTGATAACAAAGCTGCAATTAACATTACTCACAACCTGGTCCAGCATGATCGCATCAAGCATATTGAGACTGACTGTCACTATATTAAGGAGAAGCTCGAGTTGGGGGAAATTTGTGTTACACTTGTGTTTGATGATTTCAAATCCAAGTTGAACACGAATGATATCTATGCTTCAATTTGAGGGGAAATATTACAATATGAGAGTATTAATATACAAAATTCAATATTAATTACTTTGATTTGCTTTTATTTAATTTCCTTTATCCCTTTATTCAGTTTTTATTTGTTTCCGTACTAGTAGATCCTGTAATAGGTATTTATACCCCTCTTTGCGTCAAATAAAATTAATCTTAGTTCTATTCTAACATAAATATATTTATTCTTAAATCATATTCTCTCCTATGCATAATAACTTTCTAATATTATTTCTTAATAAGTATCATTTGCTGTTACTTCTAATCATAATCTTAAAGAATAGTATGACTAAAAGTTAAAATTTAGCCAAAACGTTTTAGATAACGCATGGTTATATTTTACAATCCAAGTACCGTTGACATTTCGTTTCTTTATGTATTCTGTTTTCTCTATCCATTAGAAAAATGTTGTTACTCTTTCTTGAAATTAAGAGCAAGCCGCACACTTCGTGTGTGTGGGTTGGGTTGGGTTGGGTTAGGTTGGGGCGGGGTGAATTGAGCCCTATAATATAACATTTCTTCTTCCAAACTATGAAGTGTTTGAAAAGTATAATTATACGCCATAATGGAAAGTATTACCTTTGATGGCACGTAGGAAAAACAGGAAGTGTTCTGAAATGTGGCCGTTGTGGAGCTTAGTGCCTCCTCTGTTAAAAATTGCATCCATGAGTTGCTTGCATCGAATGGGGATTGAATCATTGTCTGTAAGCAATCGGAGGGCTGGAAATGATAGCCACCGTTATCCAGATAATCTCCCATTCCGTCAGGAGAGAGATCTGTCATGTTTGAGGAATGGTCATTCAGTATCCACTGCTTGTGTTCTTCACATGGAGCTCCATAATGTTCTATAATCTTAGGACCAGGCTCACTCTTCTTAAACACACGACAAAGGGCATATGCATCCTGAAATGCAATCATATATCAGATTAACATGACATTTATTACCCAATTCTTATGTATTTGCATATCTAAGATCTAAACTTTGCTTTTTATATTTATACCACCAAAGTAAAATGTACATTTTCATGCATAGGTAAGGTGGTATGAAACTACTATTATTCCAAACCACATTTCCGGTTTAATCATTGTCAATTGGTCATCCAACAATTCATGTGCATGTCAACTTATTTTTATTTTAAATTGCTTTTTCTTCATTTTTTTTTTGTATTTCATTTTTTTTAATATTACTTGTTCTGGTACTGAATTTGCTTTTTATACTGAAAAACATGATATCACAGTAAGGTATGCAGATTAATTTGTCAATACTTTCACTAAAATACTAAATATTTCTATTTTTTCACCTCAAGATCACTTTTTCTCTAAGAACTTGTAATTTAACATTATCATCCATTGCCATTAATATACCATTCATAAACCATGTTAAAGCAAAAAAGGATGGAATCAATGGCTTGAGCAGCAACTGCAACGACACTTATTTAAATAGCAAGATTAAATATTAATTATTAATCCCATTTATTTTAAAATTGATGAAAAATTTGCATTTTAGTTCCTCCATGAGCATTCTATATAATGTTTTAAGACTACGACTGAGGCTTGGCACTAAATTGTAAATAGCATGCTAAACTATTTAAGCATCACATTTCTGACTTAATTAGAATGTTTAAACTGGGTTAAAAATGTCATTTTTTTTTCACAAACGAAAGAAAAATTGCAGCTTGAATTCACATATAGCTCAAAATTCTATTAGTGAATTAGCAAATGTGCAATGCTTTATTTCTCTATTGCCTTTAAAAACTGAGATATCTTTTCTTCTCAGCAGTCATTGATATGAATTTGATCATATTTACATTTATACCTGCAGACCATTTGAACTTTCACATTCTCTTTCATCAAGGCGGTATTCGTGCATGACCCAATCCGTTCGGGAACCATGAGGAGCTCTGCCACGGTAGTACACGAGAGTCTTCTTCATTCCAACTGCTCTCTTCTGTGAGTTCACCTTCCTATCTTTTCCTGTTGCTTTCCAATAACCAGCCTGAGTTGCTCTATTTGTTCTTGAACCATTGGGGTACTTTCGGTCTCTAGGACTGAAGAAGTACCACTCCAGATCTTTGCTTGGTAGGAATGATTTATCTGACAAAATATTTAAAAAATAAATCAAATTTGTTAGATAGAGAATCATCTGATGAACCTTGAAAAAAATTGAGCAGTTACATTAGTTTTTAGGGGCATTCACATCTACACCACACAACTCTTGTATATTTACATATTTAACTCCTAAACATTCATATTTACATGCATATCTTCAAAAATCCTCAACATAAAATCAAAAACAACACCACGCTACCTTTTAATAGCTTTTCATGCATAGATTTATGACACCATGGCGTTGTAATTGTACTTATCAAACTTTTGGTGTTAGATAACATAAATACATAAGAATTCTGTAATATGTATGTAAATTTCCCTTTTTTACATAATGTATTTTGTAAATTTAAGAAAATTGTTATCTTTATATATTTTTTAATGTGAGTCTTCTTTTTGAGGACTGAAGCTTGGAGCTTCATCATCTCTTAGAGACAATGCTGCTTCTCTTTTATGTACTGTATTGATTTAGATTTCTGCTTTCTTTAATTTGATGTTACTTTAAATCTGAAAACTATTCTCTGTTAAGAAGAGAAAAAAAATAAAAAATATAAAAGTGTAAAGAAAAGTTTAATTGTAAAAAAAGAAAAAAAGTAGAGAAGGATGGATGATATGTGGGATCTATCTTGTTTCCAAGAGACAAAAGTTTAGAACTGCTACCTTTAGCTTTAAAGATTAGGATAATATATTCAAAGCAATGGAAGGTTTTCATTTATTGAAAAAAACAATTAAGACTTGGAAGGCTTTTCCAAGTCTGAATTATTATGTGGTGCTTTAATTTATCTATGACATAAAATCACTATTATTCTCATAGAAATAAGCTAAATGTTATAAAATAGGTCCATTTAGCTGGAAGAATTTGCAAATGTCAAGGCAATGCTGTTACATTTGTTTGCAGAATTTTATAGTTTGTGCAGCTTATTGGGGTATTTGCATGCACATTACGCAATGCCTATAAATTTATGTATCTAACATACAAATTTATTTTTTAGATTTGTAGGATCCAAATCTTTCATATTACATCAAAAATAATATCATTTAAAAGTGAAATATATATTTTTTCATGCACAGGAAATGTAGTATGTACTTAAAAACTGAAAGTTTGTGTTAGTTATGTAAATACATTGGAATTGAATGGCATCTATGTAAATTTGCTTAACTCATTTCGGAATTGATTATTTATATGCCTTCCAAGCAAAGTACTTTCTGGTCCTAGGTTAGGATGAAGTGCAAATGAAGGGAAGAAAGCATTACGGTTTATATAAAGGCTACGGTTATATATATATATATATATATATATATTTGAAACTTAAATTTTAAATTAAAAAACAAAATATGTTTATGCTCACATGCTATAGGAAATTGATAGAGGAATACATATAAAATAACTTACTAAAAAAGCAATTAAGTAAGCAATTAACGAGCATTTCATCGAATTATTTGTTAATAGCTCAATCTTCAAACTCGCTAAACTTCCAAAAAATGTTTTGAATTTCCTTAATTATCTAAATAAACAAATATTAATGAAAACTGTGATGCATTTACATGCATACCACCGAATTCTTCTGATTTACATGTCTCACACCTAAATTGTAAGACAAACCTGGTAATTCCCATGGCTCGCATTTGTAAAGATCCACCTCCGGTATGACTTCCAGCTCTATTGTTCTTCCATTAATCTTCCTGTTGAGATAGTAAGCCACCAGCTCCTCATCCGTAGGATGAAACCGGAAGCCTGGCGGTAGGCTCACCGGCGCCATTTTTCAACTCTTCTCTCTCTAGATTCTGCTTCTAAAATTACAGATTTGTAAACAACAGATGGATAGAGAGCATTACCAAATCTCACAGGAAGGAGAGAGAGAGAGAGAGAGGGAAGGAAGGGGGAGGGAGACGGTTTAGGAAGGCTTTTAGCTTTATAATGTGATGAGGGGCATTCCTTTATTTTTTTATCTTGGCTTTATATTCAAATATTCGGAGGTTCTGCTTTTGTCCCTTACTTCAAGAGTGATTGGTCCACGTGGCTGGGTGGTATTGGGCAGAAGGGCTTCTTTGTGGGCCAAGCTTTTTCCGGGGGAGCTGGGTCCAGGTCGGCAGATTTTGGTCGTCACGTTTACAGTGTAGATTTTGTATTGGTGGGACCCAGCGGGGTACTTTGGAGCGGGGCCCAAGAAAGTTAGCTGCTTTATGCACACTGGGAAGTATTCTGGATATTATATGGGCTGTTTTCTACACCTATGATAAATGCTATAAATTATTATTTAATTTTATAGATTTTAAATTTTATTAAAATCTGTGAAATAATTTATTCAATCTATATTGAGAAGTTATTCAATCTATCTTTGATTTATCTCACAACGAATATGATAAATCTATATTACTGTATGTAAGAACGTGACAATGAAAAGAAAAACTTTCATCTCAGTGTTATGCGAAGATTTGTTGCATGCATACAAATGACAGGTTATGAGCGGCTCATAAAGGATGTGGTTTTTGTTTTACTTAGAAATCTATAAAGTGAAAAAATCAGGGGGTTTGATTCAATTGAAATGATTCTATTGATATTTGTTATAAATTATTAAGGATGTCTTTTTTTACCCGATATTGAGATAATATGGTAAGTATGAATTGTTAAAGATGGTTTCTAAGGTGGAAGTTAGAGGAGGTTTGAGGAGTTGGCTACCCATTACAAGGTTGTTGAGGATTTGATTGATTTTTCTCAAAACATTAGGGAATAATAGTGGCTTGAATGGTGAGCATAAAATATAGTATTAACATCAAGTGACAACCTTATTAACATCAATGAGTAACAATATTTATGTTGAATGGTGGGCAATGACCGTGGAATGGTGGGCAATGACCGTGGTGATGCCTGCTGGTGGAGTATAGGTGACCAATTCAATAACCATTAGCATTATTGTTAATAATGTGATTCTATTTTATTAGTGATGGTGGGTGTCCAGCTTATTGTTGATGGTCAATCATATAGTCAGTCGATGTTAGTGTTAATGGTAACAACTTACAATTGACCTTATTAGTTCAATGTTATTATTATCATCATAATTTCATAAAGTTTTTGGTTATCAGTGTTAGTTCTCATGGTTTATACGGATCTTATTAGCAATGATGAATGTCGAGGTTATATTTAATGTTGTGCCTTCACCTTAACGGTGATAGAGTACATTTATATTAGTATTAATTGTAAAATATTTTCTATACCATATTCGATTTACAAAATTAATTTTTAAATCGATTAGCGGAAACGAGATAAGATCATACATACCTCCAGTCATAACTTAAACGAACAGAGTCGACACTCACAACTCACACGACAAATTTTCTGTTATAGATCTTCTAAGCTTTTCTCACTCACAACCCGATGGTGCAAATAAAATGAAGAGGAGCAAGCTTAGGGACCAAAACAGCAAACATCACATCTAATTTATAGTACTCTGCCCATCACAGAGTTCAATGGATGTGACCACATTATGGAATGTTACTAAATTCATGTGTTGAACTTAGACACTATATGAACCACATTCTGAGAATTATTTCTCTTAAAAACACCAAAGAATTCCAACGGTTATTGAAATTAATTTGAGAATTTCAAAGGGTATTGAAATTAATATAGAGTTTTAATTAATTTGGGAATTCTAAAGAAACAAAATTTAATTCCCATCATTAACTAATTTGGGAATCTTAAAGAAAAAATCCCAACATTCTCCCACTTGGTTCATATAGTTCAACACATATCATATAAAGAAACAAAATATATGAATCATGGTGATAGGTCCTCTTATAGTGATTATTATCTTCCATGTATTACACTATATCAAGTCTCTCAACACTATCCCATACAACTTAATGAATAAACCATATGTTTATTCCAA